AAAGCATTTGTGAGAAGAAATACTTTAAATATTGGAAAGAAGCATTTAATAATGGTGATTATAGATGGCTGTAACAATATTAAATTATTTAATATTTTCTAATCCAAAGAATGAAGATGCAAGAGAATTATTAGCTAAAACATATGAACAATTAAGTTATACACAAGAATGTCTTGTTTGGAAATATAGTTATGAAACAGCTGCTTTAGAATTGAGAGAACATCAATTTAATGAAATATTAAATAATTGTCCTTTATATCAATTACTTCCATTACAAACTTTTTGTGATCTTCTTTCAATTTCTGTTAATCCACAATTAATTAATGGAATAGATACATCAATTAATATTGATATTTTTGATACAAATGAAAGTATAATATTAGTTATTAGTAATTGTGTACTTCATACAAGATTATTTTCTTCTAATTCATTTGGTTTTCTAAAAACAAAACATGAATTTCTTATCAAATTATTTACAAAAGAAGTTAAATTAAATCAATTAATTAAAGAAAAGAAAGTTGAAACAGATTCAATAGATTTATTAAATAAACTGATTGATTCTATTTCTTTAGAAAATAGGAGATTTTTCATTGTAGAACCAAAAATTTAAAAAAAAAGATAATTGATTCTCTATTATAATAAAATTATATTTTAAAAATTTTCTTTTATAAACAATATAACTTTTACCAATATACTTTTCATTTTGATTATTAAACTCATTGATAATGAATTTAATTACTCTTAATTATTTTTTTGTTTTGTGTTAAAAAGAAATAATTAAATCAACTTTCATAAATTCTATTAGATTAATCATTAATTGAAATATTTGTATTTAAATAAACTCAAAGTTATGAAATAAAAAAAAAATATAATACATATTCAATCTAATTAGATTTGTATCATCTATTCAAAAATAAAAGATTCATTTTAAATAAATAATAAAACCAAAACAAGAATACTTATAAACCCTAAAACTTAGTTTAATAAATAGTGAATTATGTCAAGACAATCATCTATAACTACT